ACAATAAATAAGAATGCAAGTTTACTCTCAGTTGACAGAAACTTGACAGTGTGTTTCATTTTTGTGAAATCCATAAATGGCAGTTAATATTTTATTTGCTTTTTTGGGAAGTTGTCTTAAGGGAGGAAATTATCTTGTTATGTTTTCATATGTGTAATTTTGTATGAGAAGTGTTGCTTACATAGTTCTTTGTTCTGTGTTATACTTGGCTAATGATCACCACATTCCCAAAACTGTGTTTCAGACTATAATCCATGCAGGAACCCTAGGAATCTCAGAGATTAAAGACAATACTACCTGCATGTTAAATACAGTTGTGTGAAGACTTTTTTTCCTGGGCTTCTAGAAATCACCAGATAAAGAGTAATCTCAGCTTTAACTGAAGCTGAGCACAATGATTATCTAGAAGGAGAATAATAAACAACTCATTTATTCTATATGTAGGCTACTCCCTAAATCCTATAATCATCTTTTGGCAGAAATGAAAAAAAAGTGATTGTGGCTTAATCTCAAGTAGCAATTTAGACATGTCCAAAAGATGTACCCAGTCCATCCTTTTTCAAGTCTGGAATTGTAGGCCATCATACTGATAAAAATGCTATAAATGCTGTGAACTCAGCCCTCTGAGCTTCAAAGTAGGTGGTCACGAGCTAATCAGTTTCTCCCTTCCCTCCCTTCCTCATTCTGGGATATTGTTGCTTTAAAAAATCAAATGGGCAAAAATACATATATCTTATGCCAGATAAAACAGTTATAGCATTAGCTGTCAAAAGACATTATGCAACTTTTGTTTCTTAATGGATTTTCTCTGGGGAAAAGAGAAAGAAGTGATGAGGAAATGCAGGAGTATTCTGAATGAAAGACAGCATATTTAGACCCCACACAATTTTATGTATTAGTGTGAATTATTGCCATCTATTCTCAGAAACTGTTTGTCTAACAGGTTTTCATCTCCAAGGCTAATAGCCATACTGGAAGAAATTTGCCTAGGAAAATATAGATGTGTGTATGGGAAGATCAGTCACCCTCCTCCCATGCAGCCCTGACAGTCCAAACCTTCCTTTTACAATGTAGAAAAATACACTAGGAGACCTAGTCATGGATCTCCCACATATATAGTTTGACCCTAATTCATGACACACAGCTCAGGCTTTCCCATTTGTTGCTGGGGTTCTAGAATACCAAGAAGTACTTTGAAGGGCAATTGTTCGTTTCTATGACAGTTTCATGAAGATTCTTCTCAAGCCCTCATGGAGGGGAGGGCAAATCCTGGCAAATAGAGATGGGTCCTGCCTGGCCAGCATTCCATCTTCTCTTCGAACCATCCATAGCCTGTTGAAAGGAAGTAAGGAAAGATATAGCAGACAAGAAGGTTACCTATATACATTCAATTTCCAAAGACAAAAGAAGGTGAATTAGCGTTCGGTTGTTTAAGAAAATCCTTATCTTCCTCTTTCTCTCCTATTCCTTTTTATAGTGTGGTTGGTTTCTGTGTTTCCTTGGAAATTGATGCCAACTGAAGGCTTGATAGGGGTCATCAGAAACTGCAGAATATACCAATTTGAAAGATGAACTTAATACACTACAATGTGAACAGAGGGAGGCAGATATCAAAATAGCCTAAATACTGTCATCAAATTTATCATACATCAGGCCTCTTTTTTAGCCCTTAACTGAAGCTTAAGTTTAAGTTCCCTTTTCTTTCTCATAAAAGAAGGGCAGCCCAAACTTAATCTTTTCCTGGCGTTGCCTCTCTTGTTTGTTGGATATCTTCTATAATTACACATCTCTCCGTGCCCCTTAAGCTGATAAATCAATCCAGCCAAATGACTGGCCCTAAGAAAAGCTGCACAGTATCTTTTAATTGCTAACACTCAGATCCTTCAATTGGAAGCAAGTCTTGTATAAGTCTGTCAACCTGTTTATTTCTAGGTTGAAGCCTTTTTGTTAAGAATCAGTTGATGATCCGTTTGTTTAGTTCAATCACACACCTCAGTGGTTAGGCTCTGGATGATGTTCCTTAATAACAAATTTACCACCAACTATTTTTGACTTAGTATGACATTTAGGACCAAACCTGTCCTCCTCTTAAATGGCTTGTTGAGTTTTCTACTATGCCAAATTGGGGCTCATAGGGCGGTCAGAGAATTCATGCATTTAGGCTTTTTCACACTCTGCATGGGCTTCATTCACACTTGTAGATCTGCTTAAGTGTTATTTCTCACTGGACTTGCCCAAGGAAATACAGACACCAAATGTATGGCATTTAGTGGTAAATTTTACCAAAAAATTACTTCAGAAACATCCTTAAAACCATTCCAAAGTGCCTAAATTTTTCATTCTACCCTATCTTAAAGACAACTGTAAAGTAATGGCATGGGAATAGATGCAAGGCCAGCCTATATCTCCTTGAAGGGATGTCTGTCTAAGCAGAGTTTGATGAAGGAAGCCAATAAAAAGGGTGAATGGAGGATGTGTCCACAGGACTGATAATGATCACCACTACTGAATCTGGGTATTAGGAGTTGTTTTATGCTCCATGTCCAGGATCTATACTGGACTTCTTTTCTTTCTGGTTGGTCTAGGTCCATATATCTGACTCTGGGTTCTCTTCTTTCCAAAAACTCCTTTCTTTTTTCTTTGTATGTAGTTACATCAATTATCTCTTACCTGTCTCCTCTTGCATATAGCACTCCTGCCTTATACCTCTGCATCTTTAAAAATCTCAGCCTGTTTTGTAACTGTTTTTTGTCAAAGTATTTTCTCACACTTTCCAATACATATTGATTATATTTATAACATTACATTGAACACGTATTGTGCAACTACTACATCTATCACTATATCCTGAGATTTCCTGTGCTTTCCTGCCACATTTTATTGTTACTTAGATGAATCCAAATGTTTTCTTCTTCTTTGGTCTTTCCCATCTTTTGTGTGTTCATCAGAAGGCACCTCCATGATTCTGTTTGCTGTAGGAATCATGTTATCTGTCAGCTTCAGTATAACTTGAATTCCTCTGTGTTTTCTTTCTACCTTAAAAAGCCTAGTTAGAGCCCGAATGAAGAAGGTGATGGAGTGATATGGCTGGAACAGACATTTTAAATGTTAGCCAATAGCAACTGTCGGGCTGGGTGGGGGGTATAGCATGACTAAATTACTGTTTGGTGAAGAAGCTTGAACCTATTTTCCTCATGAAAATCTCTCCATCAAAGATTTTATTTTTCCTGATAGGAATCTACAGAGCACGCTGTAATTTAAACAGGTACAAGTGTGTGTGTGTGTGCATGCGTGTGTTGAGTGAGGGAGTGCATACACTTTCATATGTTAAAATCTTCCCACATGTGAGAAGATTATGGAGTTCAATAACTAACCTCGTCCTGCTGCTGACAATGTGCATAAACTAGCCTGTTTGAAGGAAAAGAGTCTGAAAATATGTGGCTCAAAGTCCTACATGCATAGAGTCATAGCCACAAATAGAGATATCACATCATTATTGTTATATAAGCATTGCAATAGTTGGAGTATGTTAGAAGACACCAGAAATCATGCCTTACTCATGGGCTGAAGAGAATAAAGAAATGGCCTGCCTCACTCATGGGCTGGAGCTGAGATGAAAGCAACGTTATGGGGATATGATTAAAAAAAAAGATGTTGCATATTTGTGCCGTACTTAGATACAAATGGGAAAATATTTTAAGATTACAAATCTGGTTGATTCTTCCGCAGTTTGGTGAACAGCTTATTATTTTATGTGTTCCCCTTTCTAGGTTGGGTGAATGCACATAAACCTAGAAAAGGCATTAGAAATTATATACAGTAGCTAGTGCATAAGGCAGAGAAAGTTAACTGCCAGCAAATAGCATTTCCCTCACTGGAAATTGTGGACTCATACAACCACTAAAAGCAGTTGAAAAAATGGGAAAGCCTGTTCAGGTTCACAGTTCTGCAAAGAAAATGGAACTATTTTTCCATTACTGTTCACTCATCATACTGACATAAGATTTAAATTTGGATGAAGGAAGTGGGGAAGGGAGAGGAAAACAGGTTGGTTATGCAAATGCAGGTTACATTTGAGACAGATTACAAGTACCTTATCAACTGACAGTTTGTTAAGACTTTCTGAGATAGCCTGAAACCTTTTGATGTACAGTATGTGAGTCCAGTAGTTTCTTGCTCAGCACGGTTGAGTGAGAGACTACAGTACTCAGGTACATCAGAAGATTTCAGGCTAATTCAGAAGGTCTTAACAAACCGACATGGATCTGATGAAGTGAGGTGTACTTCATGAAATTTTATGCTTTTTAACAAAATATGTTAGTCTGAAAAGATGCTACCAGACTCCTTCTGTTTCTGGCTATCATAGACCAACACATCACTCCTCCTACAATATCTACCAGACCTGTGAAATATAACCAAACAACATTCTGAAAAATTAAAATAAGTGTGCAGTCTTAAATATGTGTACAGGTGAGTTCAGTCCAGAAAAATCAATATACCTTCTTCAGGGGAAAGTGTTTAGGAGCCAGTATTTAATGAGAAATTTACTTTTTTCCATTGCTGGAAGACTTGAAAGACCAAGATGGAGACATATTGCAATGGAGAAATCTATCTATGTGGTTACTAAAAGTCAACAGTGACTTGACGGCACATACTCACTCACTCACTCCATCAATCAAAATACTTTTCTTCCCACAGAAGTCTACCATTAAACTTCCCAATTCAATTTGTGCCTTCTATGCCTTCTTGGCTTTTAGGAGAAGCATGGTGATATTTCCACTAAGTGTAGAGGTAAAATGTCAAAAGGAGAAGAAGAAAGGGAGTATTATATATAAAGTAGGGAGTAAAGACCAAACATCTTCATGCTTAGCCCTTGAATGCCAATAAAACAGAGAAAATGCAACAAGGCTCTGTAAAATATAAAAGGAAATATCCGGTCTTTCTTTTAAAGAATTTGATCTGTATTCTTCATTTCTTAGGTTTTGGAATAAGTATCCACCATGAGCCAGGGAGGTTGGATAGGGACATGGAGGCCTCATCATCCAAGAGGCCCAATCATGGCCCAGTATACCAGTCCTGGCCCCAAGTATTTCATACCAGGAGCAACAGGTAAATAAACAGAAATAAAAATGTCCCAGGTATGTATGTGCATATCTATATTGGTTCAGCCAGGACTTTAAAATGCAGTCAGTGTTTTGTTTTATATTTCTTTATCATTGACATTTGCAACAGACCCCGCATAAAAATGTCTTGGGTTGGATAACAATATGAAACATCCAATAATAAAAATTAGTAGAAGTGATTTTTTAAAAAAGCAAAAACACATCACAACATACACACATGTATTCTTTTTTGGAAACAGCTTTCTCTAATGATTTTCTGCACATTTCAGCAGAGCTTGTACAGAGTGATCCCTACCAGTTAGTGCCCAATGTATACTATACTACATTGCTCGATGATGATATTTTATTTACTCTTACATACTTATTACATTTATGGCTTTTGAAAACTGCAGTACTGACTTTGGTGGGTTTTTTAAACTGATTTAAATAGAATTTAATTGTAGCACTTGGAGAGCTCCTGAAAAATCATCCTCTCAAACCTCAATTCTTGACATTAAGTCAGGGACACCACAACTCATAAGATCTAGACCAGCCACCCCCATCTTAACACCCCCCAGAAGTGCTGGGATTGCAATTCCCAGAATTCTCAGCCAACACAACAATTTTTGGCAAAGGACAAAATTTTGAATTGAGAGCACTTAATTTTGGTTCCAGATTGGTAATGTCGCTGAGGGCAGATCTGCATGTCCAAGTTGCATCAGCATGAGTTCAGGCCACTAACTGTTTCTCAAGGGTGGCAATGGATGAGGCCTTCCCTTTCCTGCCCTCAGCCACCAGGAAGATGACCTCAACCATCTTCTCCTGCTGCACATAAAAAGCACTGTTTTCCAACTTGTATCGGCACAACCATGCTTCCCTGTTTACCTGTTGTGCTTCACTTCATGGTAGACAAACATTGCGCTCTAACTAGCCATTAGGTCCTGGTCACTGCTTTCCACAACCATCTTGTTCTGTGCTGCTTAGCTGACTCTCCCTTTCTGACCAGACCTTGACTGATGAATCTCGGATTATTTTCCCCCTTCATTTCACCACTGGACTGATGAAACTCAGGATCCTTTTCTCCTTACAAGTTCACTAGTGGAATGGTAAAAGTGTGGATATTTTTTAACCAGGATAAATTGACAAGTGTTTTGCCAGTTTCCCCTTCTGGCTCAGGTGACAGAAAGAATGGTAAAACAAAGGTGTTTTCTCTTTTGGTCCTTTTTCCCTTCTTTTTAACTGACCCACCAATAGAAGTGCTAGATGGGAAGGTCTCCATCAATGGAAATGACCTCCTCAAAAAACCATACATGGAAAGGAAAATGGTTGGCACTTGCTTTCCCAGTTCCCAGAGTAAAGAAGCAGAGGATTTCACCACTTTGGGATCATGGGAAGTGTGGTCCAGATGGAACACCAAAGATTTCATCCTAGCCAAAGTTAAAGAAGAGGTTGAAATCTGGAAGGGGCTTTCTTAAGCCTTTATTTCCAGTTGCCTTATATCCAGGAAACAAGCAGTTTAAGGCTACTATCTGGAAAAGCCATCAGTGGAAATAAAACCTAGACCAGGTTTCCTGGCCTGGCACCCTCCAGATGTATGGCAGTCACAACTCTCAGCCAGAAGGAAATGTTGGGTGCTGCAGTGTCAAGACATCTTGAAAGTGGCTAGGTTGGGGAAAATTGATTTTTTAGAACAGGATCCCAGCTTCAGCTCTCATCTCTGTATTGGATTATAGGATATCAGGTAACAGGTATAACAAAGCCTGTGTTAGTTGTGACCTGAAGAATCACAGTTGGTTACAGTAGAAGATGCTAAGATGATACAACTCAGTGCAAAATTTCTGATGGCTAAATCAGGAGTCTGGTAATACCTTTTCTAACTAATAATTTTTATTCAAAGGCATAAACTTTCATGAACTGCAGCTCATAAAAGCATCTGATGAAGCTCAAAAACCTATGCCTTTGAATAAAATTTATTAGTTAGAAAAGGTATTACCAGACTCCTGATTTTTTGCTATTATAGCCTAACACAGCTCTCCTCGTATAATGGGGGTTTCTCCGACAGTGGTTGGGATCCCCTTGTGGGAGGTCACACAAATTAATTTATCATTTTAGGGGGTCACATTACTAAAAAGTTTGAGAATTCCTGTTATTGACATGACGCAACTCCCTTTTCCCCCAGGTTACGTATCGCACACCCCCACCAAAAGGAAAGCGCCTGCCTACAGCATGTATGGTGCAAAGCCTCCCTCTAGCAAGGACAATGTTCCAGGTCCTTACTACGTGCAGGGTTCTATGACTCATAGAGGAAGGAAAGCTGCTCCCTCTTATACAATGGGTGGGCGATCCAGATCGAAAGTGGAGACTACCCCAGGTCCCGGTGAGTAATGGACTTCTATCCCAAGTATATAAATCGAGTGGATTGCCTCTTCGAAGAGTTCTGGAGCAGCATTTTGGAGGGTTCCATATGGGTACATAGAAGCAAAAGCACCTGTACAAGAAAAGGAATTGATGTTGTCCTATGCAGTTTCATCGTGCAGAACTGTTTTCAGTTAACAAGGTTTTGTTAAAGAATGGATCTCGGTACTTGAAGACTGACCTCAACTCTCATACGATATAGCTAGTATACTTGGATTATAAGAATAGGTATGAATAGTCTGCTGTTGCTCAAGATCCAAAGGATGTTCAGATGGATCACTTGTTGACTAGATGAGATAATTTTTGTGTGTATACACACACACACACACACACACACACACACACACACAGAGGCCTTTTCCTCTAGCTTACTGCTTTGCACATTCTTTCTCCTCTGTATTACTTCTATATTCCAACCCTGTTCCTCTTTGCAGGCAGAATAAATGGTTCAAAAATCGTATTTTATCCTGTAACTTAAGATACCTGGTGGCCACAGGACAGGTTTATGTAGTTTGCCTAGCAACAGTACAGAAGTGGTTTACCATTGGCTTCTTCCAGGATGTTTTTTTTTCAGTATCCCAGTTTGGCTTACAGCTGTGGGATTTCCTGGTGTTTTAAGTACACTTCCCAAAGCCACTCCAAAAATTGCTACTACATTTTTTAACATGAGGGGGGGGGGAATTACTCAATAAATGGAAACTACCTTATCTGAATTATTTATTTTATTTTCAGTAAATTTGAAATTCAATTCAATTCAATTCAATTTTTGCCCTATCCTCCCCTGTTTCTTGAGCCAACTCTACCTGTTTTTTACAGTGTGGTCTCTGGTCTAACCCTCAAAAAGAAAGGACAATATATGGCCCTGAAAAAATTGCTCAGTCCCACTTTAAGACATATGGCATCGTGGAAATTAAGCTTAAACCTAATTGTCAGCAATGTCATCTGTTTTTCCTAGCCTGTTACTCACCCGATAAGGCAAAAAAAGTTATCTATAAAGCTGCACCAATGCATTCCATGGGATATCGGACTCATGGAGGAAAGGTAGATAGCACGCCAGGTAAGTCTGATTCCTTCTGCTTGTTTTTTTGCTTTGCTATTCTTTGAAGGAATCATGCCCAGATCCTGTTAATATCATCTAATAAAGTGGGATGCAGCTCAGTTCCATGCAGGTTTCCTTGGAGGAAAGTCCAACTGAATTTGGTTATGTGTAATTGAACAGAAGATCATAGAAATTGTGATTCTTCCAGCCACGAAAGGGTTTTTTTTCACTGAGGTAAGCTTCAGTTGCGCTATCTCTGTTGCACTATGTCTATAGATAAATTCTGGGACTGGTTGTGCAGCTAGAATATAATCTTTGTGGGAAACTGATTTAAACAAAAAATTTGGGCACAGCAGGGAAAGAACACTTGGCCTCTTTAAAGAATAAAACTCAGAAATTGCTTTTGGAATTGAGAGGTATTCAAAAATAATTTGTAATGCCTTGTGATAGTTTGATATTCAAAGAAAAATAGTCAGATATTCTCATGGACATCCTTCCATAGTCTGGTTCCTTCTAGACATTCTGTGGGTTCAACTTTCAGAATTCCCAGCCAGCGATGCCACAGGGAAGTTTCTTAGCTGAAAATTTTGGCAACTGCAGTCCTGGAATGTATTTGGAAAGCACCTGGAAGAGGAAGGTTGAGCTAGGATATTCCCAAGTCCCCTCAACAAACTCAAAGTAGCACTTTGAAGGTCAACCATTACCTGTCTCTTTCTCTGGGGTTGTTGAAATTCTCACTGTTCATTTTGGTCATATTCACATTTTTCCAGGTCCTAACAATTACATGATTCCAGAGGTGCTTGGGCCACACTCAGTGGCTACCTCAGCCAGCCCTTCCTATTCTATGACAGGAAAGAGTAAGCTTGGACGTTTTGATGAAGACCTTCACAAGGTAATCTGTTGGCTCAATTCATATTTTGTTGTATCAGTCTTTGTTACTTCATAGCTGCAATGGGCAACTTGGAAACGCATCTGGCTTTTAAACCCCACTTTGCTGGCCTTCTGCTACATATCTTTTGGCAGCATAATGGTTGCATTGCTGAGTTGCACTTACCTCCCTCCTGCCCCTACCTTGATAGAGCCAAAGCTCCTTTCATATGGCTAATGGGGGAATGATAAAAAGTAGCAATGATGTCCCTTGTTGCCGCAGAGGTCGTAAGTATGGTGGAAAGCTACCAGAGAGCCTCGCTTCTTGACAGAAGCAGCAAAATCTTAGGATCTTGGTGGCAGGACAGTGAGGGTGTTTCCAACATTAATGTGTCCAACTGTTTTTACAGTGTTTCCCCTGGAAGAGGAGCAGAACTAATTAATTAGGTTGGAATCCCAAGCCCCATGGAAGCCTCGTGATGTCACTGATCTCAGTTAGGCACAGCTTATGTATGTGGAAGGGGTCTATAATGTAAGCCCTAAAATATCCTTTCTCTAAACTGGAGATGGGGGCAAGCGGGGAACTGCTAGAGAACCTGTCTCTAGTTTGCATCATTCACCTAGAAATTATAGCTTTTCCCCTTCTCCCAACTTGAAGTACAGCCTGAAGAGATTATCCACACTGCCAACAGTAAAGATATCTCTGAACTGATCTATTTGCGTAAAATGTGTTTTAATATTCAATATTTAGTATATTAATTACCTGCATATTGATGGCTGCTTGTGTACTTAATGGCTTACTTTATACATATTGTGAATACTCTTGCAAAAATAGCTGCCGGGTGAAAGGCTTGCCCGATAACAAAATGGCTGCCATGGGGACATGATTTGCCAGAATGCCACCAGAACCCCATCTCCCACTCCCTGCAGGATACTTTCCATTGCATCTTATCGTTTTTTGGGGTGGGGGGAGATGGGCATACCTCTAAGCCAAATACTGGATTGCAGCTACCCAACATTTTAATCTTGTCTGGTTACAGGGGTCAGTATGGCTCCTTTGGGTGTAGTGGGGAGAGAGAGGGTCATTCTCTTAAGTGGAAGGAAAGCACAGCAGTTGTACATTACAGCACCATTTTTCAGTTTCCTTGGCTTACTTGTGTGGGATATGTTCTGCCTGGGGTCTAGTGTTGTATTTTTGCCTCAGAATCTCAAGGGTGGGGTGTTGAGGTGCTCTTTACATTCCAAATCTGGCCTGCGCAATGATTAGTGAAGCAAGTTTTATAATTATAAAAGAAAAAAGATTTATTTACAGGAAATACATGATTGGAATAGGCAAAGCCTAGCATCTACATCCTACACACCTACTCTGTGCTTGGGTGCCTAGGAAGAAAGGCAGAAGGAAGCGACCTGCGATTAGCAATATCATGAACAGAGAACAGGAAGGGTGATGGAAAATAGAGAAGAAAAAGTGGACAGTTTTAGCTCTCTATCTACACCCTGCTGCTCCCTGGTAGTCAGTAGATCATGAAGTGCTGAAGAGTGAGCGCCACTGGATTCACACTGACGACACAAGATACATTACCTAGAAGACTTGGGCACTTAGGCCCAAATGATTCTTAGTTGTGCCAAAGTAATATTTTCTTGGGCTATTCAGTCCTTCAGATTTGCTTTGAGGCAGATGGGAGCAGATGCAGGGCACCTATTCCCAACTCCTTACAGTAGCATTGACTTTTCCTGAAATCAATCCCATGGCCAAAACCAGCATCCTCTTTACCCTGGTCTCTGCTTTTCCCTCTCTTACACACTCACTCCTCTATCCTGCCTCAACAGGGGGACATAAACCTGTCTCCTAGCAATGAACTGAGATGGGTTATGATGGCAATGCGGCCATAAAGCGCAATGTCATGTAACCACATTGCTTAGCAACAGCAATCGAGGCAGTCCCGGTTGCTGTTGTAACGCCAAAACGTGCAGGTCCTTAAGCGGGGTGCAGGCCTGTGCAAGTGCAGGGAGGCCAAGGAAAGGAGGGCACAGCACGGTACAGCATGACTTGCAACCTTCTCTGTCAGCTTCCTCATTGACTTTGCTTGTGGGAAGCCAGCAGGGAAAGTCACATTCATGTGACTGCAGGGCGCTGCAACTGTCATAAGTGCAAGCTGGTTGCCAAGCATCCAAATCATGATCATGTGACCATGGGGGCACTGTGACAGCCAGAACTTTGAGGACTGGTCATAAGTACCACTCATTCAGCACTGCTGCAACTTTTAATGGTCGCTGAATGAGTAGTCAGTAAGCAAGAACTACCTGTAATCTATTGTGCTCCTTTTCCTGCAGCAACCTGGTACTTCTCCCAACACAAACAGATTGGTAGAGGAAGGCTGGAGTAGAACATTATTTAAAATTAATAAAAAAACAGAAGGAACAAAATAAGACGTTAATATGCACATAACAATAGTTCATGAAATGTGTAATGAGCTGCTGGATTTTTCCAAAAAATGATAAATGGACTATATAAATTCCTTTTCATCTTGGGGCATCCTATGGTTTTTCCTTTCTAGACCCCAGGTCCAGCAGCATATCACAAGCCCAATGTAGAGATCTACAAAAAGAGTGCACCAAAATATACCATGGGAGGCAGAATCAAAGATCACAAAACCGAAAAAATGCCTGGACCTGCAGACTACGAATTAGGAAAGGTGAGGAAATTATATTTTTTCCAGATAGTGAGAGAGAGAGAGATGTCCGCCCATCCACCTGAAACAGTGTTAGATTATCGTCATGAAAAAAGGCTCTGAAATTTATCAGGGCTAAAATATATGGAGGAAAGAATGTTGTTCTTGTTCAATAGGAGAAGTGAAGAGGCAGTTTTGCAATACACTTTATTTTTAAGAATTCAAAAGTTCTATACTTATATCGTCCATGCCAACATTCAGTAAATGTGATCTTTTCCCCTAGCCTGCTCCATTCATATATTCCAGTGATTTGTTACATTAGGAATGAAATGGGGCATTCATTCTTCCTAACTTTTACCTTACTCCAGAAGAAACTTTCTGCTTTCTTAAACTACAATTGACTATGATATTCAGAATTCCAACTATAACATAAGCCCTTTGCACAAACTAAGATAAATCTGTGGCTTTCAGCTCTAATCTAAGGGAAGTGCTCAAAGGCTTCCTCTGGCTACCCACTCCTTGCCCCCTGCTGTCAACGAGCCTGATTGTCTAAAGTAGGGCCATCCTATCTAAACTACAAAATTTAGACCATAAAATGGCAGCAGAGTTACCTTAAGCCCAGATTTTTATGATCCAGACAAGATAGCCCAAGCCCAGGGTCTCAAGAGGAGCCATAGAGGAAGAAAGGCATTGAAGGAAGAAGGTAGCAAAGGACAGAGGAACCGACATCTCAGAGATTGCTCTCCCCTCCTTTTCTACTGCCCCTTGACTAGTGCATGCACTGGAATTGGAATCCTTGGAGACTCCAACAGCTTCCTCAGCTGTTGCTGCTGGTTGCTCTCTATGTCTGCTCGCTCTCCTCCTGCTAGCTTGTGAAGCGATGCGGGGAGAGAGAACAGGCATCCCATACGACATGGTTTTTCAAACTGTGTTCCACGGAACCTTAGAGTTCCATGAGAACTTGATGGGGCTCCATGGGAGACTAAGGGCAAAAAAATAAAATAAATAAAAATCACTTAAATGCAGCCAATTTTCTATCATAAGAACTGGGCCTCTTAATTAAGGATTCTGCAATCCTTTTTTAAAAAAATAAACTAAAAATTTCTGCAGACTGAAAAAATTTGAAAACTACTGTAACATGCCACTAATAGATGAAGCTTCAGATGACCACCAGATGGCAGCAAAGAAATATTGCCTAGTTACGATACTGTATGCATAAAAGAGGAAGACCTTTCCCTGGCTAAGTGGGGGAAGATATCTTCTAGGGCAAGAAGTTGAGGGACATGTAGTGACTGAGGGTGAGAGTGGACCTTCATAGGGCTCAAGCCCACAGCTGCTGAATCAGCAGGAAAGAAGTGGCTGTGTCTCCTGTCTCTTGGCTCCACAGCTGCTATAGTTGGGGTTGAGGGTGGGGTGTAGTATTTGAGTTCTCTCATCATTGGAGACCCCATCTGTAAGATGTGTCTGGAGACCCTGGTATTAGTCCAAAGGGACCAGGTCTTCCTCACAACTCCACTACTGGTGTAAGCCCTTTATAATGCAGTCAGTGACCATCACAGCACAAACAATGATTGCTAGAGGATTTTAAGATACCCTTGTGCCACCTAGAGTGCCAGGAACAAAAGGATCACAGCTGTTAGCCCAAAAAAAATAAAAATAAAAAGGCAATAGTCTATGTTGCAAAGTATCAGGGCTTCAAGTTTCTTAAAATATTTGTCTCATCACTTTATGAAATATGCACTATACTAGGTTTGCTAGTATAGATTATATTATTTTGTCCATATATTATTTTTTTAAAGAAAATAAATGCTATTAAAATGTACTAATTCTACAGTACTAAAATGTACTAATAGCCAGAAGACAGGTCTATTTTGTCTTACCTGTTTTCATCCTCATATTTCTAGGTATCTTGTGCTCCTGTAATCAGTTTTGGAATCAGACATTCTGATTATACAACCCCTGTGATTGTGGACGTTTACTGACTTTGTCCCCTGTGCGGAAATCACATTGGTTTTTCAACTTCTATTTCTATATCATGTTCCTCATGTTTCAAAGCTACTTATTTTTAAAGCTTCAAAACTAACCAACAGCTGTTTCACAATGTTTTATAACCACCTGTCTGGAAGGATTACTACAAATATTCAGTAACTGATTATTGTTTGAGACTGAAGTTCTAATCTCTGATGAAGGAATGTGCCACAGCCAGCTCTTGTGATGAAGAGGGCCCATTGCAAATTTTGCCCTGCTGAATATATGCCTAGATTCTGACACTAATATAGAGACCATGGTGTCATTCTCCAGAAATTGGAATTAGAAATGTTTGATATATATTATATATTTTTTTTGTAAAAACCTACTTGGATTCCTGCTTCAGAACCATTTCATGGAACTAGCTATTCTTGCAGTAAGTCACATAAAAATATTTTGTATATTCCTTTACTATCTTCATTTAGAATAAATAAATCAGGAAGTCGGTGTTTACTTTATGTCCTGGTTTTTCAATGGAACTTAATTCTGTTTTTATAATGCACACTGAAAAATATAAGGCATAACCAAGTGAAGCACAGAAACATTTTTTTTTTTAAGAACTGGAAATTGTCCATCTATATTAACACGGTAAGCCATTAGTAGGAAAAGAGCCTAAGAAAGGCATTAGAATGTATGCTTTGGATAGATGTACTTGCAGAAAATTGGGAATGCTGTCAAATGCTTAAACTTACTTTATTTTCAAATTTATATGCAACGTGAGAATTGCAATCTCACTATTTCAATTGTGAGATATAATAAATGACAAATGAGATTCACCCACAACAGAATATTCACTTGCTTCAAGTGAAAGGCTGTCCCAGGTATATCAATTACAGGAAGATCCAAAATGGATCAGCACTGGATGCTTTGTTCCTTCTATTCTTTTTTTCACTGTGGAACAACATATGATGGCAAACTATATTTAGGAAACCAGAAGTGTTAATAAATCAGATATGATATAAAAATCTTGGGTTATAAATCTGGAGTTCTTTTCAGTAGACAAATACAGGATTGCACTATTAATTGTACATATCATCTTAGCTTAAATGCTGCTAATGCTTTGCTAATAAACATCAGAAGGAAAATGTTACTGATTCCAGCGAGATGAGAATCACTAAGCAATCCCTAGTGGTCAAGCACCTCTAGAATTATAGTGCAATCCTATGCATGTCTACTCAGAAGTAAACCTTACTGAATTCAACAGAATGCAATCCAGAAAAACATGCGTAAAATTGAACTTTTAATCTAGAACCAACACATCAATTAAAAAAGAACTACAAGATTGATTTGGACAAAGTTTAAAAAAATGAAGATGCATTAACTTACTATATGGTTAGTCCAACTCAAAACTGACAAATTATTTAGTTAAGGGACTAGCTAGAATGGAAAGGGGGAAAAAAGCAGAAATAATGTAAGTATGTGCAAGGTTTCCATATATTGTAAGTGCTTTAAATCCAACTCTGTTCTTCCATACACCTCCTTGAGAGTTAACAAGCAAAGATTATTGTTAGGGTGGTTATAGCTGCTGGTTTATCCAAAAACCGAGATAAAGCAATTTTGTTCTAAAAGACATTCCTATATGAGAGTGAGAGCACTTCTCAGAAATGCACGTATCCTAACATTAGGCTTTCAAGTGACACTTTTTCCCCATTAAAATAGATATTAGAGCATCTTTACTAAACATTGTCAGGATTTTCCTGCTGAACTACAAACTGTAGAAAGCAACATCACAGTATGCTTCCTCTTTCACCCAGTAAAGAGAACAAGCTTATATAAGGGCGGGGGGAGAGAGACTTCATTTCAGTGAATTGTGCTGCGTTTAAATTTTCAAGTAGAGAGGGACAGAATTATATCCCCTTTAAAGCAAAGAGATGAGTTCAGAATGGAGAGATCATACTGTAGTCCATAAAGGAGCCTCTGGGTCACTGTGAAAATTTAAATAATCCTTCCCAAGATACACACCTGAAGGTCATCCAAAGCTCCTTTTTTCCATTACCATTTTTTTTCCTTCAACAAACATCCAGTACAAAACTTTAATACTCTCCCTCAAGTTCGTGCTCTTGTCACCAAATAATAGAGGATGAAGAAGACAAGAATCAGTCCACCAGAGACATAACAGAGCAGCTTGTGATTGTCCCTTCCTGACCGAGTCATAGCAGAGAAACGCTTCACGCTTCCTGTCAGAAGGCCTGTCACGCTCATAAAATCAGAGTCCTAAAACAAAAAGAAGTTAACTTTAACACAAAGGTTACGGAACAGATATCCCATGGCTCTAAAATAGCCAAGAAAATCTAGAATCAACCTGAAAATTATGTTTCATTCCCATTTTAGAGAAATGATTAATTAATGTAAACTCTTAAATATTTGAAAGGGAAGTTCTATCAACTGTCTTGTTCTTTCTTTTCCTTACTCTGTTGGTTTTGTCTTTTTAAATTGTATTCTATTTTATTCTCTTCCTTATAATGTGAGCTGCCCAGTCATTCTTGAGTCCAGCAGCTCCTAAATTAAATTAAACTAAAGTGTAGACATACATACATACTTATATTGGCAAAATTCAAAATGTAATACTCTAATGATGCTGCGGCAATTTGCACTATGAATTTTCTACGTTATTTATCCTCACAATTTGTCCAATGGGAGAAAAAATTACATGCGTGAAGTCCATTATTGGCTTTTATTAATAACGAACAAACTTTTAAACCTAGATCTTCCAAAACAGTGTGATGAACAGAATATATATGCAAAAATATTACAAAGGGTAGTATGAGGTATGGGCTAAAGTACACATGAAATAGCAGCCATGACTGGCTGTGGTTTCCCAGCAGAGGAGACCCATCACTTACAGACTTCTGCTTTATTTTTATAACATGCAGTAGCCTACACATGGTTTACACTTCTATACAAGGAAATATTTTATGTATAAGAAATGATTATTTAAAATTCCCCTCACCAATCTGACTATACAAAACAATTCCATAAAATATTTAATATTAGGGTCATGAAAGCCACAACTAAGAACCCACACACCACTGCTGATATCAGAAGACCAAAAGTTCACATTTGACTTCTTTTAGAAAAGTGGCACACACACAAACATACACACATCTCTGGGAACCCCATAGCAGGCTAAAGTGCCATTTTTTTTGGAATAAAGACAAAATGACAAAAGTTCATTTGAAACATGACCAGCAAGGAAGAATGTTTAATAGTAGTGACCTCTTTTGAATGTGATGGGTACAACCTTCTCACAAGATTGTGTTTTTATATAACTCCAGCGTATTCTGTAACTCATCCTTCACAGGATGAGGGCACAAGTATATGGTGGGTTTCACTAATAATTCCACATGAACTGCAAACAGTTGCTTACCATGTTATCAAGGTACTGGTTTTGATCCTCAGCATCTTTGTCAATGTCCAACGCAAGCTAGATTAAAAAAAAAAAAAGAAATTACTGTTTTTAACATTCCCATCTCTGACATATTTTAGTAATAATGCTGATTTTGGAAAGGATTGCTCAAAACTATAATTTTCATTTCTACAATATCAATACAGAAAAAAAAATTCCAATGCTTTCTGGCATGCAGAACTCATAGTTGTAATCAGAAAGCAGTGGAAAACCTAACAGATTGAGTGAACTACAAACCGATTTTAGACGGGTGACTTTAGTGGCCAGGTTTTCTGCCATGTGCTTATTTTCCATATCTAACATATCATCCACAGCATTTGTGTTCGGACCTAAAAAAAAAAAAAAGAGTCACCACTTAAGTACAGTTACGAATATATGTCGAAGTTCATAGAAAAGGACAAACAGTGGGTCGTCTACAAATCTCTAGTGAATTTCATGGGGAACATTTTTCCCAACTTCCTGGTTGAGCCAACAGAGTGCAAAAATAAATACTTCGTAAAAAGAAAAAAAACACTTAAAAAAAAAGACATGATGAGAAAGCCCACCCAGTTCCACACACCGGTGCATCCTACCACCATTTCATATGCTCTGTTGCCACACTATTTCCTTTCCTTGGCCCCAACCAAGGTCTTTAAGCGAAAGCAGAAGAGCTGGCGCGGTGGGCAACGGAGAGAAGGCAGCTATTGTTCCCGGCGGACATTCTATCTTGCCAGCTGCCTGACAGATGTTCCACAGACGCCGTTGTCCGTCTCCATCCCCAAAGGCTGGACTAACAAGGTAATCGAAAGGAAAGGAAGGACCTCTGTGCGGAGGATGGCTGGAACCCCCCCCTCCTTATTTTGCATCCCTCTCCCAAAAACAATTGAAGGGAACGAAGAAAAGGAGAGCCGCGGCACCCGCTCGCTCGCTCGCTCGCTCGCTCCCTCCCCGTCGCCTCCTTCTTCGCGCTCACCTCTGCCCCAGTCCGCCATGGCTGCTTCCTGCCTCCGTGTCCCGCTCCGCCCACACCGAGAAGCGGAGATTTGTTTTGGTGCGCAGGAAGAAGGAGGGCTCGGCGCCCGGCTGCAGCCGCGGATAGGTCCTTCGGGGGAAGGCTAGAGAGCCTTACGCTGGCGCGGCGGCGGGGCGTTGCGTGTTGCCGCTGCGTGTGAACGGAGGGAGGGCTATCCTGCTAATGGGAAGTGGTCTCCTGGCGCCCAGGCAAACGGGGCCGAGAGGGGCACGGGAATTCTGTCGTGCGGAGCGCCTGCTCGCCCGCCCCGGGAGCCAAGAGGAAGCTCCCCGCCGGAGCTCCTTGGATTTTCCGCCCCAGGCAGAGAAATGCTGCGGGCGACCTTCTTTATTACGCAATGTAGGTAACTTCTGCTCTCGGTGGCTTAAGTGAGGCTTAAGTATACTCTCCCCCTCTTTCTCTCTCCCCCCCTCCCCGGTCTCGGTGCCAGATGGCAAGAAAAGTAGCTGCCCCAGGGCTTCTCATGCGTTTTTGACGGTGGACTAAATGATGGTCTTCCCACGACACGTTGACCCAATAGCTGACTAATCACATTTGAGCCTAGCGCGGGGTGCCGACCCAACCTGCGTAGTTAGTTTATGGTTCAGTGTATGGTAAAAATGCCTTAATTAGGTAAACCAGGCTTCAGTTAACCAGGGTTCGGCATATGTGTAAACACAGCCAGAAGCAAGGATTGCTTTTCATGATTTAATGGCAGAGGATCTCAGTGTTCTGGTATCAGCTTCTCTATTGAAGAAAAGGCCCTTAGTCAGAAATTTGCACCTGTTTTGTGTGTCACCGTGTGGAGGGAGGAAAAGGGGAGGATGCCTCTCAGCTTCAGTGGGGCATCTTTTTATGGTGGTAGAAAATTGACAGGTGTCCCATTTCCCATCAGTGGGGAAAGTTGAATTGGTAGCTCTGTGTAGTCCACAGCTCAAGGAAAGCTGGAAATCCTACCCAGTTCTCTCCCATCTTCTTTCCTTGAACAATGCAAGCTAACAGGGTCCTAAACTTGCACATTTCATGTAGTCACATCTTACCTGTTTTGTGCAGGTGAAAACAAGAAATATTTATTTTAGGAGAGTGGGTAAGTAGCATGGAATGCCAAACATGTCAGTGTGGAAGTGCAGTGTCGTAGCTGTACTGTTCCAATTAGTTCCATCTAGGAAATTTTGGAGCATGAACTGAGTGACCTGATAGAGCTCCTAGAGGTCAGCACATAACATTCTCTTCCCTTCCCATCTCCTCTGATCTTACATGTTCTTCTGTGCTTTTGTTATTGGTGAAAATAGTCATGATCATCCTGGAGAAAGTCTGTCTGTGTGGTTGCTAAGAGCTGACACTGTCTTGATGGCATATGATCGGTCGATCAAAAAGCAGTCACAACATAGTTTAGTAAACCTGCATTTTTTTTAAAAAAAGATGAGTGGTTCCATATTTTATGTTAAGGCATCATTGTGACAGAAATCAAATGCAGTTTGCTTCTCTCATCCTCTTGCTAAACAAATCTGCTTCGGAATAAGCTGGGCTACGGAGGTCCTAACTTCTGTTCCCAATATCTTGTCATAATTGCAATACTGCTTGAGAGTTAGATGGTTGAATGGTGCTCTTCTACAAAACCACTTGCCAAAGTGCTAGCAAAGGTATTTTTTGTCCTAGCAAGCAAGAATGCCCAGGTGTCAGATGCAAATAAGATAGTACAGCAGTAGTAGGTATGTTACTCAGCAGAAAGGGGAAAACACTGTCGTCAGAGCCAATTTTATTATATTGATTTGTATATTATTGGAAAAGCAGCATCAACGGTTTAAAAAAACAAAACAAAAATATCAAACACTTATTCAGACATGAATGTATTCAGGAGGGCTATATTCCAAACATTAGGTAGGAAGAAGCCTGTTTTGAGAGGGACATTCACAAGTTTTAAGGGATGAAATGGGTATAAGTATTTATAAGGCTTAGAATACTTATATTACCCTTTAAAAATCCATCTTCTACCCTGTTCCCCAAAATGCAAAAATGTTCCAGTTTTTTGGCCCCACCCAGTTTGGGGGAGTGCAAAGGCCACAAAAGGAATGCTGAAGAGATGTCACTTTTACTCCTTTGTCATAGATGTAATTTCACATAAAATCCTGAAGTGATTTTTAACACTTATAATCTGTTGTTCTGAACCTGTCTTGATTAAGTTATTTTCAGACTTAAAACAGGCTCACAGAAAGAAGATTTTGTCTTAGACTCACATCAACAGGTAGAAGGAAAGTGGTTCTGCTAGGATCCAAAGAAAGTGATGGGATACAGTTTCCTGAAAAGGATAAAAATTGTATAGAGACAAGGCTTGCCTCCTTCAAACAAATTGTTATGAAGATGTAATGTTCCAATAAAAAACTGAAATACTTCAGTGTTCGAAAAGAGCTCACATTCCCAGAGATGTGATTTAATTTTTGAACATTTCTTTACCAATAATTGAATATGGGTTATAACTAAGCTGATCTGAAATGGGAAACTTCTTGTTTGTGATGCTCCATTCCTATAGGTAAATTGACTCCTTATGTAGCTGGGTAAATACATTTGCATGTAGTGTAGCATAAAGCCAAGATTATGTATTATGGAAGAAGGGTAGTAGTTATTAAATAATGATAAAATGGATTCTCTCCATGCTTATGATACATCGAAAGGGGATCAGTTTAAAAAACCTTGTGCTACCTAGCCATGAGGTAGTAGTTATTCTTGACTCATTTTGCTAAGGAGACGAGTTTGTATCAATGCCTTTACAAAATGTATGTTCTGTCACAGATAATTTTGACATAATGCTCACCTACCCTCTGTGAAGACTTACAGTTAGTCTGTTATCTCTAAAGCTAAAAATTCAAGTCTGTGTCTGAATTCTTATTCTTTTGGACGCCTTCTTATCTACTTAATGCTGATTTTTTGGGTCTGAATCAAGGTCAAGTTGGATACAGCTGACAGTCTGTTCAGTGCCATGATTTAGATCTTACTTCCGTATAGTTTTGTATGAATTCTTTCCCATCAGCCTTGGGTAGTTGTACAGTATCTGCAGCTGTAGGAGAGCTTGTTAAAAGGGGTGGAGCTCCCTAGAGGTCAATTCTTTCTCTGCTACAATTTCTGGATCAGTAACCTAGCATTATAATTCCCCACTGCTCCCTCTGTTTTTCCGCTAGTGGGATTTTCCAGTAGAAAGAAAACAAAGCCAGTGTCTTCTCCCTTGAAAACTGCATTTGGAGGGTTGAGGGAAGGTGGGAGAGTTGCTGCATTCAGAAAATGAAGCAAAAACCTTAATAGATAACTGTGTACACAAAGACAGCAATGCTATAAAGAAGGTAACTTCTGCTTTCTGCTTCTAATTAGCTTTATTTTTAAATTTCCATTTTTAATCCAGGACACTGGTGGTGGCTAGAATGGAATTTAGAGTAAAAAGGCTTTTGTCTTCTATTCCTGCTATTTAAAAATACTGATAGTGTATAAAAAGGCTCCTTGCATAATATATTTTAAATAGTTTATCTAGTGGATGAGGAAGAGTCATTGAGTGGATGGGAGAGGAGTGTGTGAATGTTTTCCAAAGGAATCTAAATGTTGGATTTTGAAGGAGTCTCACCATGCAGATAGCAGCGATACCACTCAACAGATCTGAAACAGACATGATTTGTAGAGTTTGTAGAAACGTTCATAGAAACTCTGTGTAAAACTTGTAGAGTTTTCCAATTTGCCACTTCATCTTTGTGTAAAGGTCTTGTCTGTTCTGCAGTATGTTTTTGTTCATTCCAGTGTATTTTTCCAATGGGGGTTTGCAAACTAAATTTTTAAAAAACCCAAAACAGCTATTTCCAAATATTTACTTCCTAGGAGAAAGCGTGATGCAGTAGAGTTACAAGTGTCAGTTATAGACTTAGTGGCAAAATCTGCCAAAATTTCCTTTTTTCAAAGTGTTTTAATCTCAGTTCCAAGCATTGTAAGATGAAGGATCTTGGTTCACCATCTATTACATCAGAATTCATATAATCAGTGGTGGAATTAGCATCCTTTGATAAACTATTTCTTCTATTGATGGGGCATCCCATTTCTGAAACAGCTATTTAAAAGAGACAGGCTTTGTGCAGTAGCAGCTGCTATCAGCTATTTAGGATTATAATACTGTATACAATTCCTGAGTGAAAAGGAACTACTTACATTTAATTATCCTAATATATAATATGCGGAAAAATAAATATTTAAAACTGTATTTTCCAATTAAGGCCCAAAATATATGCAATAATGCTATGTTTTATTTTTCAAATGGATTGATCAATTCCTTTGTAGTGAATACTGCAATCTTCAGGATATGAATTGAGCAGAGGTGTACTATTTGTACTATATCTGTGATCTATTCATTGATGTGCATAAGGAAACTTGGGCCAAACATGTAGAGAGAAATAGTATGGATTTGGTTTATGTTGAATAATAAGCCTAAATAAACAGAGTACAATTACTATACTACTATACAATGACTATATGAAACAAATATTACCAAAAAAGAAAAAAAAACCCTGTCAAAAAATCAGAAGGACTTGGATGGCACCTTTTCTGACTAATAGATTTATAAAAAGGAATAATCTCACTTTATCAGATGAAGCTTGTGTCTTTTAATAAAATTTCTTAGCCAGAAAAGGTACTACCAGTCTCCTGATATTTTGCCCCCCTAGACTAACACGGCTCTCCTCCCACAGTGCCTATAAAGAAAAACCCTGTGGGCCTCTGTTTCCCCATTGCCAGTAAATGAAATGAATTGCATCATGGGAGCTTTTGGTCCTTTGGGCCTGCTTGTTAACCCGCTTTTGTAAAACTCCATGGAATTCCTTATTGTTGTGCTTTAATCTGGTTTTATAATTGTGGTGGAGACTTTTCAAGCCCCAGCCATAATTCCTAAAGTTACTATATTGATTTCAGTGGATTTAGAAGGAGAACTTGTCCCTGCTTCCTGATAATAAGTAGGTCAGAAATTATTTAGGATGGATCAAAAAACAGAATGACAGAGCAGGATGAAACACAAACATTTAAGATGATACACAGGGACGGCGTTTCTTATCTTGACTGATTTTAATGCCTGGGGCTGCACTGGAAACGTTTGTCACTTATACCTGTTAACAAATCAAAACTGTACATTTGAAAAATTGGAGAGTAATTGTAGTCAAATTGTGTGATCTGAATTTTCTGTAGCATTAAAAAAAAACAAACTAGGCTAAATTAGATGTAAATGCCATGAAGTTCCTTTCTCACATGGTTTCAGGATTCCAAGAGAGGATTTGATCCAATTCTGGTTACAAGCTATTAGCTGTATGTAGAAATTACTTGTGCTGGGTGGGGAAGTATATCTGTTCTGTGCACAGAAGAAAGTTGATTACAATCATCTAATTTGTTTTTAAAAATTTCAAGCTCTCTGCTCCGTGTTTATAGTTATGAGGAGTAGTCAAATGTTGTTGTTTAAAAGTACTGTGCGAAGGATACGAGGCATTTGCAATCTACAGATTGTTCCAAGCTTAGTGATATCTTTTGCCAGAACTGCTGATCCTGACAGCTGCTCAGTGATGTACATATTTTGCCACATTATTCCTCTTTATTTAAATGTTGTTTCGTGCTATTCTTGAATTTTGCAAATAAATAACAGCAAGCAGTTAATTATGTGGAGGTTTGCAGCATTAGTGTAAATTTATTTTAAAGCCACTTCATCATTTCTGGGATTTTCCTTAACAGATATGTAAACTGTGAAGGACGAACACTTTAGAAAGTGAGAAGCAACTCTGAAATAGAAGCATTTGTGATATTCTGGGAACTGTTTATTTGCAGTTCTGGTTTGTACCCAATAGATTCTCCAACAGTTTCTGCCTGCCTTACCCAGAGAACTACAGAGCACCTGTTAATGGTCCCCCCGCTAGGAAAATCAGCATGAGGGAGCCTGACCTCCAGCATTCTCTATAATTTTCATCCTTTGGAATAGCTGCCTCGTGGACATGGGTGCCCCATTCCCCCAGTGGCTCTCCAGAAGCTGATAAAAGCATGGCTCTTCTGCAGGGTCTTTGGGGTTTAACACTACACAGCAGTGCCATTTGCCATAATGGCATAATTTTAGTTTTTGACCTCTAATTGCTATTTTAGTTAGTTTTCTTCTGATGTTGTATTCTGTTTTTGGTGTGTAAGTTCTGTAGCCATCTGAAGTTTGGTTAGTCAGGTAGATTTAATAAGCAAGTAAATGAAATGTGCATCATGCTTAGCCCCCCCCCCCCCATTAAAGGTCAAAATAGGAAGTAACCTAAATGCTTTAAATCCAAAATGGTCAATATTGATCCCCAAGGGTCGATGGGACTGCCCAAGGTGTTGATGTTGTTGTTGTTGTTGTTATTCATAGTATTATTAAAGTAGTATTTATTACATTATTTTCATATAATAAATGCTTTGGGGTTGATGAACAATCTGAAACTTCATGAAGGGGTCAATGAGCTGAAGAGTTTGGGGACCCCTGATTTAAATCATAAGGCTAAGCATTCTGATTGTGACAAACTCTTCTAGCACCTGCCTTGATAGCTTGCTGGTCCCCTTCCCCGTCACAGCTGTTACCATCACATACTGTGAAATGCACTGTGATTAGCATGACTACTGGAGGGATACAAACGTGTCTGCATCCTTAAACAGCTACTGTCTTTGTAGTGACTATTCTGAACACAGACTGGATGTTGGACCTAGAGATGTGGAGAAAATGGTGACCAGAGAGTTAAGGCCTTGGGGTGGAAAGGTTACCCCCACCTCATGTTTTCTAAGCAGGCTCAGAGATTTGAATCTGAGTGATGAGTCAGTTTAAGAGATGCTCTGATTAGTGAGCACAGCTTTAGTACGTTTTCAGACCTCCATTGTTTTTTCACCAGAAAATGTGTTACTATCTGAATCTAGCAAGGAGATGCGTGTGGTTTTGCTGGGCATGCATCCTTTTATTATCATAGGGGCATTTCTTTTGTTCTTTTTAAATATATATATAGAAATGAGGACAATGGGTGGAGGAGGTGATTTGAGGAGCTACATCATGCAGTTATCTGTTTTAAGGTAATCCTCAGACTGGCGGAAGGGGAGGCTAGCTAGGTAATGCTTTGCTCAGAGGACATTTATTAAATGCTGAGAAGCTGAAAGAGGAAGAGGATTAGTGTGTGAGCAAGAAAGCAAGCTACTGGCTGGTTTTACTGGGAGTTTCTATCTGCTTTGTACTTTGGTATCCTGGAGTGGCTAGGCTCGCTAATGTTCCTCCCTCTTGTCAGCTGTTTAACAAGGACCCTTTGCATCAGTAAATATCCAGCCAGACTACAAAGCCTTCTACTACGTTTCACTGCAGTCAGGGCCACCGTCCCTCTGGGCAGACATGACGCTCCAAGCTGTGCTAGAGACTGTGGAAAATGGGAAGCAAGATACGGTCCTCAAGGTGCTACAGATCTACAACCAGGAGGTGAGTTTTCATTGGGAATTGAGCACCCTGAAGGGCCTGCTGAAGAATGCACATTGCACGTTTTGATGCTGTTCTTGTGATGCTGCCTTCACTTTAATCTGTCTGTATTATTGGGCAGTATATTCTTGTTATTATTCTTTTAACCTAGCCATTTGTGGTTACTCTTTCCCTTTCTTTCTCAAAATAAAATGCAGCAGGGATGTAATAGCAAAATTATGCTATACCGCGAGAATGAATCATGCCAGTGGGGAGCAAATTTCAAATGACAAAAAGGAAAAGAGGAACTTATGTGATAGGCAGGTGTGTGGAATTCACAAACATACGGTCCTGGGAAGTGGTGTATGTAAGAATTATTGTATGATGATGATTATTACTGTTTTAGATAACATCTATCTTAACCTTTGACCTTGCCATAGAACAGTTGATAAAAGGAAATAAATGGGTATGGTGAGGATAAATGTTCAAACTCAGTCATCATTGGATTTGCTTCAGATCAATCTGTACTATGTCTTTCAGTATTAAACATTTCTAGGAAACTGAAATCAAGCTGTAATGAATATGCGGTTGTGAATGGATTTTTAGCTGATTTTATCAAGGATACTTTTTGCTCTATACATTTGTGTGACTCTCTGCAACAGATTTTCAGAATAGCTGCATGTAATATATGTAACACCAATTGTTATTTTCATAGAGGAGAATGAGAATGAATATGAATATGAATTGATAGGTTGCATTCTCTTCATGCTCATTGATGAAGCTGCTAGATACAATATTTGGTCATTTGTCCATCAACTGGCAGGAGCACTCTCAAACTTCTCAAGTAGACTTTTTTTTTTTAAAGTTCTTGACCACAGAACCTTCCCAACTGGAAATGTTGGGATTTGAGCTTAGAGCATTTCACATCCACAGCGTGTGTTCTGCTACTCAGACTTGTCCAAAATTTTCAGCCAGGAAGTTTTATCTTGATGAAAATTGTAATTGCAGTAACGATAATAAGAATAATCTTTACTCCGAAGGACAAAATATCAGACTACCTAGTCCTTTCAGATACTGATTTTTTTTAACAGACAATTTTGTTTAGAAAAAATCAGTGTGATTGTAGTTCCACTGTTCTGCTACAGAGGAGTTGAGACCTTTGTTAACATGTTTCTCCATCAGTCTCAGTGTGTGGTGGGTAGATGCTGTTGTCAGAAAACACATGAATGATTCATGGGTACCTCTTAATATGGAAAGAGGCTAATGCTGAGGCTTTCTAAGAATTTGTGCCAGAGAACTCCAGAAGGTGCTGCATAATGAATAAAGCAAAACATATGGCAATTCCTTTCCTAATGATAACAGAGAAATATATCTTGTTCCAAAAAGACCTGATATAATTCTAAAAGTAGCAGTTGTAGCCCACGTTCCTCTTTCAAGCTGTCACCACCAAAAGGTAGCTGAGAATGGATTGTTTGATGTGCTTACAGCGTCTAACTAGGCTATGGCAGTCTATTGAGAACAATAGATACTGCAAGCTGGACTTTTTCATGTGTGGAGAAATAGAACTGCCTTTAATTGCCATATTTTAAAGAATTATGAGGTAAAATACCTAATGATAAATGAAAATTCTTGGGTTACATTAAAGCTGATGTCTCTGATTTCAGTAACCAAGAATGGCACACAAATGTAGCCTCATTAGAAATAAACTGCTTTGAATTTCTGCTTTTTATTGCCAAATGCAGTGGAGTCTAATAATGAGCTTCCACAATGGAGTAATATTTGTATGAATAAAATTTAAATAAGTAAAGCAGCTATGAAAGTTATATAAGTTTCCTCCTTCAGAATATGATTTGCAATTGGGAAGAAACTTCTATTAAGCTAAAGGTATTTGCCTTTTGGGAAAACTTGAACAAAACCCCAGTTTATGAACTGGGAAACCTGGGAGATCATTACTGGCTAATGAGAAATACCTCAGTTAGAAAAAAAAGTAATGAGAGGCAAACTTATGAATGAAATCTTGCCCACTATCTTCATCTGGAATGCGCAGTTGTAGAAAAGGGTCATCTGGTCCACGTTTAAATTATAATGTCAAACCAGTGCATGTTTGAACTGACTGTTTACCTTAGAATATGCCTCAGCATTTTTTACATTGCCCAGAGTTTACTTTAAAAAACTAGTAATCATAGAAAGTTTTTTTTAAGGTAGGAGGTTTGAAAATAACTGCCCCAATTAATAAAGCTACTTAGAAAGTAATAATCCATCTTACATTTCTTCTTTTTAACTCAGCTTTATATTTCATTGGTTGGCATCTGAGTAGCTTGGTATTCAGAAGAAATCAATTAACTGTTATTTGTTTAAAAAGTGCCCTTATGGTTAGAGAAAATTATTTTCTTAGTTCATTCAATAAACGTTCTCTGTTGCTTTCTCAGAATTCTCACTGTTTCACCTTTGATGATGAGGAACAGGAAGAAAGAAAGGTATGTTGTTTCATTGTTTGTAGTCCATCAGGAACACTGGGTGTGAGAAATAACGATTTCTGGTTACTGAATGGGAGAAAGCCATGAACTTTTCTCCCCTGTGCTATATTCTTCCTTTAAGACCAAAGTGGACAGCTGGAGCATAGCCATTTTAAGGTATATTTAACATAATACACAGTTCTGTCTTTGGAGTTCATGTGGTCCTGCCTGGAGCAAGAAGAGAAAGGCTGTTAATGTCATATGAGAATGAAATCATTCTGGGTGTAAGGTTAGTTAAAGAATAGACCGGCCTGTGGTCCTTTAGATGTACTGCACCTTTCAGTAGTCTCAGCCAACATTGTTAATGATGAGCAAAGTAGGTAGCTGTTGTCCAACAATATCTGAAGGGCTCCAAATTGCCTACTCTGGAACAGAGAATACTTTGATAACTGAACATTTGGATCTTGTTTTGATTTTCATTATGAAGCTATAAGGCTTCTGGTTACCTATTTCTCCCAGAGAGTGTGCCTGCTTGTGGATCAATGCAGTATCAGTCTTGATACAGTTGTGTTGCACCCAAATGCAACAGGAAGAATTCACTAATTTACACACACACACACACAAACACACACACAGAGCCCCAGAACAACAGATGTTCCAGCTATGGAGGTTTCTGTTCTGCTGCTCCAGCTTAATCTAGTCTCCTTTCCTATTTGCCAGTGGAGGTAGGATTATACAGTAACTTCCATGGCTGGCAAATTGGGTGCAGATATTGGTGGAGCAGGAGTGCCAGCTATGCAGTGACTGTCTTCTTCCTTAGGTCTTCAGAGCTTCTAAGCATAAATGAAGATCTGGCAATGCTGCTTTTAAATATCAAATTGATTTTCCTATTTAAACAAACCTCCTTTCTTAGACAATGTGAATATATAACAATTAGAGAGGCCCAAGTGTGATTAGTAACAATACACAGGCACTGCGTGTAGAAATTCCCCAAATAATTCCCCAAATCTTGAAAAACACAGCTTGGGCAAGCTGTGGCCAACTGGGATAGACACTACTGAGTTAGATGGACCGAGTCTGACAATTTCTAAGGTAGCTTCATGTTATAATATTAGGTGGCTAATTTATATGCCCATCTGCATGCGTGCTGAGTCTAAATGGAAAAAATCTGAAATAGTTATAAATACACCTGCAGTAGCAATATGTATTTCTCTTTGGCTGTATGTCATTGTACACCTTAACATCCAGATATAACTCTCCACAGCATATGGCATTTATAAAATGCAGGAAGTAAAGAAAAAACAAGGCACACCCCAGCAAATTGTTGTAAAGGAAATGGTCGTTGGTAGCAGCTAGCAAATAATTCACATGCCAGTCAGATGCATGTCATGGCAAAAATATGATAGTGCACTAAAACTCTAAAACTAACTTTGGTGAGGCAACAGCCAATTATACTGAACTAATATAACTCAGAAGTGTTTGTGATCTTCTTACCATTATGTACCCATTGATGCATACCATTTAAGATGTGTGCGCATCATGCTGCTCTTAAATCTATTTTAAATGAAGATATTTATTAATATTTAATACATAACTAATTATTGAAGATCTAATAACTGTTTTAAAAAGCACTGCTGTTTTTACAGTGGGGCAAAAAAGTATTTAGTCAGCCACCAATTGTGCAAGTTCTCCCACTT